AGTCAACAAACGAAATTCAAAATGGCCGCTCGAGCACGAAACTGAAAGTAGATAATTTAGGTTGTCGTCCTTTTTCGTATTCGCATTTCTAATTAGGTTCCGACAATTATGTCAGAAACGCTGACGTCGGCGGTGCGTGCGCCGGCACGAAAACGAAAGTGCCGACGAAGCCGACGGGAGAAAAAGGGGTCGCTGGCAGTTGGCCAGGCCTCGCACTACGCACATTGACTGATACATGTGGGCCTAGCAATAGCATCGGCCGGTTCGCGGGTGGGGTCGCGAATGTCAGATTTCAGACGATTGTCGGCAAACATGCAGGTCTAATAAAGGAGAAGGCAGAGTAAGTTTTTAGAAAAATACGGCAGAACAGCAGACTGGGACAAAAAATCGAGATAAACACGATCGAAATCGGGAAAATCGGGATGCTTGGGATTTGGGGCAAAAAATTGGGATATCCCGACTAAATCGGGATGAGTGGCAGGTCTGCTTGTTATAATATTTTAAAATCATTTATAACCTTATGATAGATTTTTTAGTATTGTGTATAGTATATATTCTATATATGACATTTCTATATATGGCAGCCGTTACCATGGCAACACAAAAGAATTTTCAAAATTTTACTTCATAACCTAATTCTCCACTCTATTTATATTGATGCTACCACATTTGTAAGCTTGATTTCTTCTGCTTGACAAATTTCAAAATTTCCCCCGCATTATGCCATTACCCTGTAAAAACACATTAAAAAATAGAAAACACAGACCAATTACAAGAAAAGCAAGGTGTCAATAAGTGAGAAAGAGATGAAGTGAAAATAAACTTTCTTTCTCAAAGTGAAGAGGTTCTGTTTCTTTTTTTTTGTTGTCTTCTTTCGTTTATACACTCGGAGTGGTTTTTTTCCAAATTTTATTCCCTGGCCATGGTTTATTTTTGTAGTTGAAAAATATTTTTTAAATCGCAGCCACAACAAACACAGATGCTAGATCAATAGAAGAGTCTCATCTCCTGCTGGGACTATTCACTGCCCACAAGCCAACCATGGGGGGGGGGGGAATCAATCATTAATTTAGTAAAAACAAGACAGGCTACCTTTGAAGACCGTGCATCATCGAAGCGTTTCTGCCGCTGTAAATCTTTGTAGAGTTCTCCTTTGGGGGCATATTCAAGAATGAGATACACTCGTGATTCATCATGGAAGTAGCCAAACAATTTGAGAATATTGGGGTGTCTGTGGGGAGAGAAAAAAATGTACATGACACATATGCTCATCACACCAATAAATTTCAGAATAGACAATATTTCCAGTAATCTCTAGAACACACCGCTGATACTTCATGCTTGTCAAAAATATAACCCCCCCCCCACTGACTGAAGTGTCTTTAGGCCATTCCTAAAGGGGGGACATTAACTTGTTCTTACACACAGTAGAATTGCAAATGGGCTAATTTAACAATGTCATGCTCATAACTGTGTTTGAACTGCAACAGGGGACTACTGCTTTTTCTTTCCTAATCCTTACTATTGCCATTTTCCTGTACTTCTTTTGTCTGTTTGTCACACTCTTGAGACCAGTTATTTCTGGGGTGCCTTGATAGTCAAGCAGACTTTGTGCTGTTGAAGCTAGAGAAGTGAGCAGAGTAAGCTTGATTCTCTGTAAGGACTTCTCTGTTGACATCCACCCCTTGGCGCTCATATGACCTTATGCAGTTGCGAGCGCTCTACTAAAACAAACATTCAAATCTGGACAGTGGCAGAAAATGTTCTTTTCTAAAATTCTCTCCTTCCACCTGCTTTTTAACAATATTCTGCCATCTGCTTTCGTCTCCACTTTTTGCCCCCATCCTCTCAACTCTGTTGCCCACTCCTCTGGGTTCCTGACACTTTCTGCAGCCTTTCTACTGCTTTTCCTTGGCTCCTTACTGCAGTCTTTCAGCCACACCCCTGATCTTATGGTAGGTTGTTGTTTTCAAATCCCTTTAGCTGCGAGCATTTCGCTCTTGGCAGCGCAATGCCTTTCTCAAGTAACCACATGTCCTTGTCATCTGGTCAACACCAGATTAGAGCAGGCTTTGTAAGTCTGTGGGTGTGTTTAGCAGCCTGCGTCGAAGAACTGCCAGATTTGGGCAGTGAAGGAGAAGATGTTCAACGGTCTCCTTGTGGCAGTCACAGTGTCTGCAATGGGGTTCCCACATGGGATTAATTCTATTTATGTGCTTGTTATGGTAGGTAAGATCTAACTCCTAGCCTTCTCGGATACGGGCAAAAAATCTCAGAGTCCCTGTATGCAAGTTGCGCATGCTAAAGATCCCTTATTGGTTCAAAATCTATAAGAGCAAGCTTCGGCTGACATCTGAGCAAAATTCAAAATTTCCTACTAACTGAACATGTTTAATGTGACTAACGCGTTCATTTGATCTTACGCAGATGCAAGCACTGTAAAACATTTAACAAAAAGACAGGGACACACATTACTATCAGGACATGATTTATCAATGGCATCATCAAGTAAAGTGATCTTCCTTGAGACGTCTGTCAGGGTAGTTCCTAGAAACTGACTGGACTATCTCCTGCCTCATAAAAAAAAAAGGGAAGAATCACTTAAATGTTTTATACTGGACACGGACTGAGAGGTATACAAATACAATATCCCAAAACATAGACAAAGACACTCCAGAAAAAATACTTCTCTCGTGAGAATTAAACACATCAACTGCAAGTGATGGCAAATAAGTCTTACCACTGCACTACAAATGACAGTTTGGACAACTGCTTTTGTCCTTAAGCATAAAACAAGCACAAAGAAAAAGCATAATACATTAAATAGGTTTTTTAAATACAAACCTAAGATGAGTTTGAATTTCAATCTCTCTCCTCAGTTGGTGTTCCACTCCAGCTTTCACAAGTTGAGATTTGAACATCAACTATAAATAAAAGAAGAAATTATTAGAAAATAGGGTATTTAGTCTTCAGAGATTTTGCAATGTCACCGGGGGTCTGTAAACTACATTGAACATTTGACAGGAAATTGAAGGTTACATTTTCCCCCCTGGGAATAGATGCAAAGGCAGGTAACAAAGGCTATGAAATGGTTATTGGAGCAATTTGGTTTGGAGTCCATTCCCGTTTTTAAAAAAATATATGTCAAAATTTTATGCCATATCAACATAATTAAAATCTTTGTGGAGGTGAGCTTATTCAACCCTGCCTGCCTTGGCTAACTCAAACTGAGTGGGATGCAGCATCCCCGCAGATAGACAGTTGAGTCAATAAAAAGAACACGCTCCAATAGGACTTGAAATCACACCCTACATGTGGAATAAAATAGAGCCTAACTATTACACCACAGACACTCTTTGCTTTTGGGTTTGGTATAATCAAGGAATATAGTATGTGGAAAGTTATGGGTCTTCATCTTTGAGTAAAGAGAAGCAATTCAATAAAATAATGATCAATTAGAGCCCGGGAAAACACTAAATAGATCATTCAAAGCAACTTGAGGAAAGAAATGAAGTCAAACCTACCAGTCTCTGTGGTAACCAAATGAGATTGAAGGGCCAAGAAGTACACCAGAATGTTAAATAACCCTTTAAACTATCAGTCAATCACTCATATAACTATTTCAGCAGTACATACATTAACAAATCTGTTGTTTCAGCTGAGTCCACCCTCAAACATTATGGTGAAAAGCAAGTGTCTATTGATAAGTTTGAAAGTTTCAGAGAAAATACTTTTGAACTTTCTACAAAAACAAAAAACATTTCAATTACTAAGAAATAAGGAAAAGATGTGGAACAAAATGTGAAAAGAAGAAACTTGAAAAGCTTCCAGAATCTGTAAGACTTAAACATGACCAAAGAGATTGCCTCAGAGGAATCTGAACAACACCCCCACCCCCTGAAAATTTCACGTTGTTTTAAACTATTAAACAGTTAAAATTGTCCAAGAGGGCCATCCACACTAGAGGGAAAAAGTGGTTGTCTTAGAGAGATGGATGTCTTTGACAGTGTTGTTTCGATTTTTTTTTAATGCAAGGGAGAAAGTGAGGACTGGTAGGTTTTGTACAGGTGACTTTCTGGGCCTGGTGGCTGTTAGGGCAGCTTCTACTGATAATTATATACCGAATCTCGTATTTCAAAAATGTACTGTGTTATCTCGAAAATAGCCAATAAAAATGAGTAAATATATATTTATATAGCTAAGAAGAGATGCAAAATAAAACAACATACTAACCTTTAAAGCAACGATGTACTTGCTTCTCTTTTCCCTGGCAAGATACACATTTCCAAATTTCCCTTTTCCAAGGGGTCTTCCAATATCAAAATTACTCAAACCCCATTTCCTGTGTGAAGAAAAAGTAAACAGCATTTGAATTGGTAGAAATTACATGTCTTTACACTTACTTAAATTTCACAACAGATTTCAGACACCAGATTTCACATTTGTAGTAAATTGGATATTTCATCCACCCGTCAACGCAACTCAGAAAGGGTTGATTAGTTAGTAGTATAAGGTTTTACGGCGCTCGCAACTGCTAAGGTCATATGAGCGCGCGAAACACAAGTTGTTCACCTCTGCGAAAG